TACCAAGAAGACACCGAAATCTCCACAATCGAAACCTAATCCTGTAGCCATAAATTACGTGACATGACTATGCATTCCCAAACTGTCCAAATAATAGGACAATTCAAGAATTAATTGGACCGCAGTCATGTTTTATGCATCCATACACGAAATCCAATTAACCTCGAACGGGAAACTAAGTTTTACTATAAAAAAAAAATGTACGAAGTTAATTTCAATTAACTTTGTACATCAACTTCGTACATCAACGTACATAATTCACTACTACAAAAAAGGCAAAAGACGACGGAAATTCACCGTCGTGTATCGGGTTTTCAAACCGTCGTCAAATCGACTGACATCTTTTGCAAAGTTAAACCACGACGCGAAATCACCGTCGTTGTAATGACAAACAACGTCATGAACAAAAAAAAACCAACGTCTGTATACTAAAAAATGAACCAAAAAATTGTCGTGGAAAAGAATAGACGACCTATTTTATACAAACTCCGTCGTTTAAATAAATACAATACGTCTTTAAATAAATTAAATCCGACGTTATTTAAACATACGACGTCCAATGTATTTATATAACCGTTGTGAAATACTTTTTCCACTTCATTTTTTCCGTTAATATTGACGTGGAAATAGCGGTTAGGGTACATCACCGTCGTTGTTCTAACAAACAACGTCATTACCAAAAAAAAACCGACATCTGTATACTGAAAAATGAGCCAAAAAATTGTCAAGGATAAGAATAGACGACCTATTTTATACAAACTCCGTCGTGTAAATAAATACAATACGTCTTTAAATAAATAAAATACGACGTTATTAAACTATACGACGTCGGGAATATTTATATAACCGTCGTGAAATGGTTTTTCCACTTCATTGTATATAAAATAAACAACGTGGAAAATATGTTAGGCTCATGACTTACGACATATTTATTTCTATAAACGTCATCGTATTTTATATACAACGTCGTGATCATGTAAAAGACAGCCGTGTTTCTCTATTTATACGTCGTCTTTACCAAAATAATAGTCGTCTAATATATCTGAGACGGC